ATAAAAACTCACCAGCGACAGAGTGGAGATAAAAAATGATTGATAGAGGACAATGAAAAATTTTATTGCATCCTCCTTGAGGTTGTTGGCGTTGCCGGAACCGCGAAGTAAATTTCCATAACATTTTTTTAATTGTCAATTTCGACAGAAAATCAAATAGATTCAGCTAATTTGTCTCACAAGAGTTGTCAATTGCTGATTTGTGGTTTCCTCAAATATTTGCCACAAAGCTCCAAAGAGCATTGACAAAAATTTTCTCGTGTATTTGGAAAATGCTTTCGAAATCCATATCGTCCAAGGCTAGTTACAGCGATGAGCTGAAAAAAACCTCCTCATAGTGAATAAATTTACCATAATCAACAATGGGGGAGATGAGAATTTGAGTGAATAGGTCCAATAAATTCCAAATTGGAGCACAAACAAGGACGCCAGTGAAAGATCACACATGCCATGTGAGGACGCAAAAAACCTGCTAAATTGCTTGAATATCGATGTGAAATATTGGGCAAAGAGTTAGAGAAGATAGTGCAGAATAAAGCGAGACGTTTAGGTGAAGATCAACGAACTGTCGCGTGGAAAAAAGTCCATTCTTATGAAATATTGCATAGAAGTCTGCGGAGAATTAATGGTGAGACAAAAATACCCGCTAATATATTAGTCTTGGACATGTCTGACGACGAGTTGAATGCTTTCCCATTAGTGAAGTATTTTGCCGCATGCAAAAAAGCTAGAACACTAATCGCTCAGCGAAGGCCCACATTTTTTTGCGCGGCAAGATCAACAGCATTAAATATAGAACTATGAATTGTTTTATATCAGCAGCAACGGTGTCTAGAAATTCAATGACCTCTTGTTGTGATTTCAGCGCGAGGCACATTTTTGCCCATGTTACAAAACAATACAAAAGGTGTAACCTCCTATTGCGTCAATTAACACTTGTCAGTAAGAAATTTGTCTCTTTTTCCCCCTCTTTTGCATGCTTTTCTCGGGAAGAAGACACCCAAGAGGAGAGGCAAAAAATCAACTGGTTTCCATAATGTCACACTCGCCAAACGACCCCCCATAAAACAGACTCTTTCCCGAGGAATGGATCCTTCTTCTCTTCTTGATTTAGAGTCCGGCACAAATTGTTCGCATAATTATCCTCCCCACCAAAAGGTGATTTGTTGATATTTAAAATGTTACGTCAGACAAAAGAAAACTAGTTCAGATGTCTCTCCAAAAAATTCCAATTGAGCCGAAGATGTGCCACAGACGTAGGAACAAGGTGAACTGTGAATAATGTCAAGGGGTTTCATCACCATTTTCAATTCAGTTGACAATTTCTCGAGGAAACGCCGAGCAATTTATATTTTCTTCCTCTCTCTCTCTTGCCCATCAGGCATTTCTTCAGTGGCATTGACCTTGCGGATTTTCCTGAAATTTAATTACATCCATTTTTTCCCCTCAATTGCTTATCAAGCCATTTCGCTGAGATTCAGCTGGAGAATACCATAAAACTCCTCATGTATCACCGCTAATCCGGTTTTAAAGCTAAAGACGTACGTCTCGAAGCCGAAAGCATGCTTGGAAGGAGTTGCGCAAGTTATGCCCGATTATTTGGAATGACAACAGTTGTAATAATATTTTTACACTCTTGGATAGAGTTCAATAGCAAAGCACGTGCTGTTGATCTTGCAACTATTAAATAAATAAATTACTTAAAGCATTATAACTTATGATATATTCACAAAGACATTTCCAATAAATTTATCCTGTAACACTGAAATTCTTAACATAAATACTTACGACATCGATTTGTCTCTCAAATTCAGACGTTTAGTAAGAAAACGAAGAAATCAAAGTCTATAATTCTTCTAAATCTAATTTTAACACGAAGAGGGGATTTAATTACTCTCTGGAAATTATGGAATATTCAATTTTCTTTTCCGTGAAATTTTCAATCATAAACTAAACACTTCACCATCGAGAGTGTTTGTGCGTTTTTCATTAGTAAATATCGTCTTCATATTTTTTGTGCATGTAAAATAAGTGATTCAATAAATAGTGTTTCATGAAAAAACCCGATCTTAAGCAACAGTCCTTAATAATTTTAAATGCTTCTAGTTTGATCATTTTTAAAACCGCCATTTCATCTCATTATGTTTACAATTTCAGAGTTTTACCATAAAAACACATACAGACGAAGATGGGCATTTCTTGCAAGCGCACCTAAAGCTCTTTTTTTTCGGCAGAAAAAGCAGTGATTTTCGCCCAAATTCAACCCATGGTCTTTTTCCAACAGCGCGTGTCTATGATCCGGCAAGGAATATTTCACAGAAAGATCTTCTTCAATCTCATTTGCATACCAGATGAGGAACTTTTTATAGTACCACCAGGGGCGAAACACTGAAAAAATGCCAATGTGAAAAAGTCACTCGAGTATCCCATTAAGTTGAAATTTATGAAAATGCTACCAATAAAGTGATCTCTTCAATATGATTTTTAGAGGCTGCTACAGGTGCGATTACTAATGGTTTTCATGCTTGATATCTCAAGCATAATTTAGGAGTTTTTTTTTCGAGTGCACTTGCAAGAAAAGCTGAGAATCCGGAAGCGAAGCAAGGACGACTTTGCGACTCTCTGTCAAGTATGAGAACATTTTCGAGAAGACACTCAGTTTTTGCCACGAGAGGTCAGGTGATTTGCAATAAATTTTCGGGAGTCCGTCTGAGTTCCGCAATCCTATAATGGTTTTTTTTCTGCGTTTCGCTCAAATATCTGTGGTTGACGCGCTAAAAACATTTCTTCCCATTGCCATGCCACACTCATTCCTCTGCAGATGCATAACTTTATGATTGGTCTCTCTATGTATTTTTTGATGAAACATTTACCACGCGATTATGTGCTTTTTCGTGGTGTGGAAAACCAGAAAGCGGGTCTCAAAGAGGATGACCTTTAAATCGGTAAATAAATTATTGAACTATCATCCGAAATATTCTTAACAAAGTTGCAAATTACTTTGGCAGATTTACAACAATAATATCGCACAGTTTTGTGATGTTCAGCGTTTGCAGTGCGCGATGGTCTTGAATTAAACACCACGCATTCTTTGGCTACACATAACACCTCGACTTGCAAAAAAGTCTCAAAAAGTATCTTATCTCATCCACTATTACGACAATTTGGCAAATTAATTCGTCAATCATATTCACATGAATTGAGTTGCAATTACCACGTGGCGGCAAAGTGAAAGACATGGAAAGACATTGTTAGTGAAGGAATGGGTGAGTTTGAAAGTTGATTAAAACATTTGTATTAATAAAATTCATTTATTTTCAACACGGCATTTTTTTCTTATCTGGCCACTTGAAGAGCCACAACAAGCCTACAATTGAGCCAGGAGAGTGATTTCAGAGCAGTATAATTAGGGAATGAGAGGGTTTTCTTTAAAAGTACCACGACTCGCGCAAATCATAAAGTAAAGCACAAGTCTGCCTACCTTTTCATGTGATAATCTCGTGGGTCTTCGCAAAGAGCCTAATTACTTGTGCAGCGGCTCAAATGAGATAGCCATCTCAGAGACATTTGACTGCTTCTTCAGGTGAATTTCCTCACCTGGAACACAATGTTCACGTGCTGAATGATGACTTAATGATAAGATATGTATTTGCCATCTATCATAACTTATAACCTTTAACGCAACTCAAACTATCGCCTCAACAGTCAAGGCGTTTTTGTCCCATCCAGCCAGCGAATAACGCCTGCGAAGATGTCACCAAATATCAATTCAAAAGCACTCTTTTTGGGAACACCTCTTTTACACATATTTGTTCGACAGGCCACCATCAATTAGCATTTTTTCTAGCGTCTGAGCGAGCGCCTATAAATATGTAAAACAAACAAGTTGAACTTTCACAAGAAGAGCTTTTTTTACTGTTTTATATGCCATATGAAAAGTGAATCTTATTGCACGATCAGTTGGCTCTCAGAATCCGAAGAGGTTTATCAAGAGAGAAAAAAAATAATAGCGTTCATCCATTTGATTTTGTCATCACTTGAGTATTTGATATTGAATAAGAAAAATTGACACGAATCTTGAGCAATTAACATGTAATTTCACTTTCAACGGAGTCTGTTCAAAGATTTGTCCAACCAGCCAGTGTTCATCATGTGTTCGTCTGGTGGATTTCACGTTTTCATGCGAAAAGTTAACACAACAGCGCATGAGGCTCTTGCGGCTGGTGTTGTAGCAGTGAAAATGGCAAAGGTGCGTTCGAGTCACATCGCGATTCTAATCGCTTCTTAAAATGTTAAATTGACTCTTAAACCTTTTTTCTTCGCTTCACTGAAAATCTCCCTGGATATCTTGCAGAGATTGTTGTTTCCATAGATCTCTGGTGCTCATCTTCAACCTTTTTTTTTGTGATGTCTGATGATATTTCCGTGGTAACTGGTCAAATTTTCATGAGGCCTTGGACCAGGCAGTGGACACAGGAGGTGGAGGAACATGTCGCAATAAATTCAGCAGCTGCCAATTTCCGATATCACATGGCTTCCCCCGAAAAAAGCAATCCGGATTTCACATACTGTTACAGCATCAATACAGCCGCAACAATCAGCGTCATAAAAACTGTACCCAGATTTGCCACTGAAGATGATTTCATTCAAGACCGACTCCAATGAAGACTACTCCGACAAGTCCCCTTTTCCAACTGCTAATTTCCATCGCGCGTCGCAGCGTTTAATCACCAAATACAGAGACAAACTCGGTGGAGCTCTCGCTCAGAGGCATCTTCCAATATAATAACATTGTATAATATAAGCACATGAACTTTCACGATTTTTTCTTTATTTTTTTTTAATTAATTAATTCGCTTTACAAAAAATGAGTCGTTTCAATGCATTTGAACTTGAGTGAATTCATTATGTAACTCTTGTATTTTTGTGGCCGCGTTGCTTCAAGCAAATTTTCATCTCGTTTTTTTGAGTCTGCTGCGTGGGAAACAATTTTTTTTTATTTAGAATACGAATGGCACAGCGGGCTTAGGGTAGAAGTAACCCTCCTGTTCGCAGTTCGGGTAGGTTCCAGGGCTTCCGGGTGGGCACACTGGACGAGGTGTTGTGGTGGTCGGGGAGTAACAATTCGGGTAGATGCCAACTAGACCAGGAGCACATCGGGGTGCTGGGGTGGTAGTTGGGGCGTAACAATTGGGATACACTCCCACAAGTCCGGGAGCGCATCTTGGAGCGGGCGTCGTAGTTGGTGGTGCACAGTTAGGATACACTCCGGTGTATCCGGATGGACACCTCGGGGCGGGTGTTGTGGTTGGGGCATAGCAATTGGGGTAGGTGCCCAAAAGTCCCGGAGCACAACGAGGTGCTGGGGTTGTTGGTGTGTAGCAATTGGGATAAGTACCTAATTCACCAGGGGCACATCGTGGAGCCGGGGTGGTTGGACGACGGCAATCTGGGTACCTTCCGAAAGTTCCTGGTGGGCAAACTGGCGCTGGCGTTGTCGTAGGTGCGTAACAATTGGGGTAAGTTCCCAGGAGGCCTGGAGCACAACGGGGTGCCGGAGTTGTTGTTGGGGCATAGCAATTTGGATAGGTTCCCAGGAGTCCAGGAGCACACCTAGGTGCCGGGGTTGTTGTGGTGGGTCTGCGGCAATCAGGATATCTTCCGAAAGTTCCTGGTGGGCACACTGGCGCTGGCGTTGTTGTTGGGGCATAGCAATTAGGATAGGTTCCCAGGAGTCCTGGAGCACAACGAGGCGCTGGCGTTGTTGTTGGGGCATAGCAATTGGGGTAGGTGCCCAAAAGTCCTGGAGCACACCTAGGTGCGGCTGTAGTTGGCCTGTAACAATTAGGATATGTTCCTAATTCACCAGGAGCACAACGAGGTGCTGGTGTAGTTGTGGTAGGTCTGCGGCAATCAGGATATCTTCCGAAAGTTCCTGGTGGGCAAACTGGCGCTGGTGTCGTTGTTGGGGCGTAGCAATTAGGATAGGTTCCCAGGAGTCCAGGAGCACATTGGGGCGCTGGCGTAGTTGTTGGGGCATAGCAGTTAGGGTAGGTGCCCAAAAGTCCAGGGGCACACCTAGGTGCGGCTGTCGTTGGTCTGTAACAGTTAGGATAAGTTCCTACTTCACCTGGAGCGCATCGTGGAGCCGGAGTTGTTGGTCGGCGACAGTCTGGATAGACTCCAACAAATCCAGGAGCACAGCGTGGAGCCTGAGTGGTCGTTGTGTAACGTGGAGTCGTGGTTGGAGGCAAATATGTATTACGCTCAGTTGTTGGTTGATAGCAATTGGGGTAGGTTCCCAAAAGTCCAGGGGCGCACCTAGGAGCGGCTGTCGTTGGCCTATAACAATTAGGATAAGTTCCTACTTCACCAGGAGCACAACGGGGTGCTGGTGTTGTTGTGGTGGGCCTGCGGCAATCAGGATATCTTCCGAAAGTTCCTGGTGGGCACACTGGCGCTGGTGTCGTTGTTGGGGCGTAGCAATTAGGATAGGTACCCAAAAGTCCAGGGGCGCACCTAGGTGCGGCTGTCGTTGGTCTGTAACAGTTGGGATATGTTCCTAATTCACCAGGAGCACAACGGGGTGCCGGAGTGGTTGTGGTGGGCCTACGGCAATCAGGATATCTTCCGAAAGTTCCTGGTGGGCAAACTGGCGCTGGTGTTGTTGTTGGGGCATAGCAGTTAGGGTAGGTTCCCAGGAGTCCTGGAGCACACCTAGGTGCGGCTGTAGTTGGCCTGTAACAATTAGGATATGTTCCTAATTCACCAGGAGCACAACGAGGTGCTGGTGTAGTTGTGGTAGGCCTGCGGCAATCAGGATATCTTCCGAAAGTTCCTGGTGGGCAAACTGGCGCTGGCGTTGTTGTTGGGGCGTAGCAATTGGGGTAGGTGCCCAAAAGTCCTGGAGCACACCTAGGTGCGGCTGTAGTTGGCCTGTAACAATTAGGATATGTTCCTAATTCACCAGGAGCACAACGAGGTGCTGGTGTAGTTGTGGTAGGCCTGCGGCAATCAGGATATCTTCCGAAAGTTCCTGGTGGGCAAACTGGCGCTGGCGTTGTTGTTGGGGCGTAGCAATTGGGGTAGGTGCCCAAAAGTCCTGGAGCACACCTAGGTGCGGCTGTAGTTGGCCTGTAACAATTAGGATATGTTCCTAATTCACCAGGAGCACAACGAGGTGCTGGTGTAGTTGTGGTAGGCCTGCGGCAATCAGGATATCTTCCGAAAGTTCCTGGTGGGCAAACTGGCGCTGGTGTCGTTGTTGGGGCGTAGCAGTTAGGGTAGGTGCCCAAAAGTCCAGGAGCACACCTAGGTGCGGCTGTCGTTGGTCTGTAACAGTTAGGATAAGTTCCTACTTCACCTGGAGCGCATCGTGGAGCCGGAGTTGTTGGTCGGCGACAGTCTGGATAGACTCCAACAAATCCAGGAGCACAGCGTGGAGCCTGAGTGGTCGTTGTGTAACGTGGAGTCGTGGTTGGAGGCAAATATGTATTACGCTCAGTTGTTGGTTGATAGCAATTGGGGTAGGTTCCCAAAAGTCCAGGGGCGCACCTAGGAGCGGCTGTCGTTGGCCTATAACAATTAGGATAAGTTCCTACTTCACCAGGAGCACAACGGGGTGCTGGTGTTGTTGTAGTCGGCCTGCGGCAATCAGGATATCTTCCGAAGGTTCCTGGTGGGCACACTGGCGCTGGTGTCGTTGTTGGGGCGTAGCAATTAGGATAGGTTCCCAGGAGTCCTGGAGCACAACGGGGTGCCGGAGTTGTTGTTGGGGCGTAGCAATTGGGGTATGTTCCCAAAAGTCCAGGAGCGCACCTAGGTGCGGCTGTCGTTGGTCTGTAACAGTTAGGGTATGTTCCAACTTCACCAGGAGCACAACGGGGTGCTGGAGTCGTGGTTGGTGGTGTACAGTATGGTGGAGTACCACTGTATCCTGGAGGGCAGCGAGGAGCTGGGGTTGTGGTTGTCGTCGGACGACGGCAATCAGGATACCTTCCGAATGTTCCAGGTGGGCACACGGGCGCTGGCGTTGTGGTTGGGGCATAGCAATTGGGGTAGGTGCCCAAAAGTCCCGGAGCACAACGAGGCGCTGGGGTTGTTGGTGTGTAGCAATTGGGATAAGTACCTAGTTCACCAGGGGCACATCGTGGAGCAGGGGTTGTTGGACGACGGCAATCTGGGTATCTTCCAAAGGTTCCTGGTGGACAAGTAGGCGCTGGGGTAGTGGTTGGAGTACGACAGTCGGGATAAGTTCCAACTGTTCCCGCAGGACAGTAAGGTGCGGGGGTCGTTGTTGGGCGACGGCAATCTGGATAGACGCCCACAAATCCAGGGGCGCACCGTGGCGCTTCAGTTGTGGGACGACGACAATCAGGATATCTTCCGAAGGTTCCTGGTGGGCACACTGGAGCTGGCGTTGTTGTTGGGGCATAGCAATTGGGGTAAGTTCCCAAAAGTCCAGGGGCACAACGAGGCGCTGGCGTTGTTGTTGGAGCGTAGCAATTAGGATATGTTCCCAAAAGACCAGGAGCACACCTAGGCGCGGCCGTCGTTGGTCTATAACAGTTAGGATATGTTCCTAGTTCTCCAGGGGCGCAACGGGGTGCCGGAGTTGTTGTTGGGGCATAGCAATTGGGGTATGTTCCCAAAAGTCCAGGAGCACATCGGGGTGCTGGAGTCGTAGTTGGTGGTGTACAGTATGGTGGAGTACCACTGTATCCTGGAGGGCAGCGAGGAGCTGGGGTTGTGGTCGTCGTGGGACGACGGCAGTCTGGATAATTGCCAAAGGTTCCAGGTGGACACACTGGACGTGGTGTCGTTGTTGGCGCGTAACAATTGGGGTAGTTGCCCAAAAGTCCCGGAGCACAACGGGGTGCTGGGGTTGTTGGTGTATAGCAATTGGGATAAGTACCTAGTTCACCTGGAGCGCATCGCGGAGCCGGGGTTGTCGGTCGGCGACAATCAGGATAGTTTCCGAATGTCCCTGGTGGACACCGTGGTGCCTGAGTTGTTGGTGCTACACACTTTGGATAAATTCCAGTTGTACCTGGAGGGCACTTTGGCGGGAGATACTCCCTATTTTCATTTGTCGACTCTTCACATGGTGGCCCTACTTTGCCATTCGCACACAATTGGATCTTAGGTATTTCATAGACGTACGCTCCATCGGCAGTTTGGGGTTGCAGTATGTGAGACACATCAGCACTCACGAAGGCGTTGAGCAACGCCACCACAATAAGTAATTTCTGCAACGAGAGAATGCAAAAATTTTCTTTCATTACTATCATAGAAAGGAGAAGTAAAATAGACGAAAAAAAAACTTTTCACCAATAACTTGTATAAATATTAATCTTTCTCTCATAATTCACAATGATTGACAAATCACGAAAATTTTAAACAAATTAACTTTGGTTGCATCTCTGCGCTGTAAATATTTGGCAATTCCGATTTTTATTATCACGTAATTCACTGTCCAACTTTGGTGGATGATGAGTGAAAGAAAAGAAACTGTGTGGCGATCCAAAGATTCACTATATATGCAAGATGCTGGCAATTAGCTTTTTGTGTTGCTTCCAAGACACTTTAGCACTTTTTTTTTATAAATCCCAAATGCTGGCTGCGAATGTTGCGTAAAACTCACCATTTGTGTATGAAATCTATGGCTTAAAAAGAGTTTACAACTGAACACCAGATGAGCTTGACTAGGTCGCGAATGAGCAGCAATTCGCCGTTCAACTTGTATTTATACTCGCGGGTGGATTTAAGAGACTCTTACAAGATGTGTGTGTGGACTGGTGGTCATCTTTAAACATTTTTCGTGGCTCTCTAATGTTTCACTATATACCACTACAGGGGCGAGAAAAAAACCGCAGAGAAGACTCTGATGGCCATCCGGATGTCCAAGGCGGGTACACACACTGAAATAACTTCTCGGAGAAGATGTGCTCACACTGGAAATTGATTATAAGATTTTTTGCTAAACGGAGTTTTCCCCCCATCACTCAGTAGTCAGCTTCTTTTTTCCCTCCCAACATCGTCTACTTCTTTATTGATTAGTATCTGTTAAATATGTAAAACAATGCTATTCTTTGTGTCATATATGTATGTATATGCACACCACCGGAGTGTGCTAACAATTTATTCATTCCAAGGCAGGATCTACATTATTTATGGGGGGATGGGATCGGGTCAAGATAGAAGTCACCAGGTATTAATATCAACGATTAATATTCAAATTGTGACATATGTATGTATACATATAGTATATAATAGAAAAAATGCACACATCCATCGATCAGCAAATTCCACAGCAAAAACGTGTGAAATATCACTTGATTTTTCCTCCTTTCCAGGTGCAATACCCTTTTGTGTGTGTGAAGTGTGTTTAGTAATTAAAAGAAAGTGCCATATGCAAATATTGACATATTCACTCTCATTTTCTATTGTCATACTTTGTACTGTGGCATAATTCGTTACAGAAAAGACCTTTCCAATCGCAGCCTCACTGATTATATTTTTGGATAAATGGAAGTCACTGTGCGTCCATTTTCATCGGCATAAAGACATAAAAGCCAAGAGACCGCATGAGGACAATTAGAGAGAGAAAAGGTGTGCGGTATTGAACTTTATTGGCCAAATAGTCAATCGCCGCTCTCGAGAAGGAGGTTTTCCACTCATTTCCTCCTTCTTGACTTTTCAGCCTCTCTTCCCCTACCACAAAAACTGCACGCGCAAAAGTTTACTAGTGTCAAACATATCCAATGTAGAGTATAAATCAACAATAAACATAAAGGTTTTGTTGGTTGACAATCAATTGGCTGTTAATAATTCAAAGTCTCAAGCATCTCATCACAATCTCCGCACACAGTCATGGTGTAACTTCAAGGTAGCATTTTCATCTGTGGCCAGAAGCTACAGTCGGATGTTGATGCTGGGAAGACGCTACTGGAGGATGAAATAATTCTGTGGTGCGTGTCAATCAGTTATGGTTGATGGGAAAGATCTGACCGTCAGGTGCGTGCCAGGTGGCCCAACAAGGTAGTGTTGATTTACTTCTAAGGTCTATGCGGGCCCACGCATCACCAGACCTGACTTTTCATTAGTATTTAGTGGCTGGTGATATGTAGAGGCGTGATTTGTAATTCAGTAAGCTATACGCTTTAGCTTCCTTGTAAGGCCTTTTACCCAACAAGGAACATCACTCATTAGCATTGGCCCATGATGCAGTTCTTGCTCAAACGCTTGATTTCATTTCAAAGTATATATTTTGTCGCAAACTGAATATTAACCAACATTTTTTCTTTTAAATTCGCTGAGCAAAATGTCTCGGAAACATCCCAACCGGTTTTTACGACACTTCGAGGCATTCTTGTGTGTATACATAAATATGTATCTATGTTTTCTTGTCATTTAGAAAAATCTGAATTTTTTGATTTTTCATGGTTGCGCCTCTTTTCACGCGAAAACGGCAATAATTCTCTGTTCACGGACCATCACAGTAAATTTGTGTCTATTTATTCATTACTTTAATTGAGTGTACTTTGCGATTTGAAATTCCGGGTAAAGAAGTAAAGAAGTAAAGTGGCAAATCCTGAAACGGTCAAAACATTCCCAGCAACCCAGCGAATAAACAGGAACTCCTCTTTTGAATCACCGTCTGATGGAGTGAATGGAACCACAGTGGATTTTCCATACTTTATCGTCACTGTCACGCAAATTGAATGGGCCGCTGAAGATGAGTTAGAATTTTCCCAGCATCTGACTTTTGCACTGTGTGGTTTTCACTCACTCAGACGCTAAAAGAAGATATTATGTACGCGCACATTATGCGGAGAAGAAATTTAACCCGCGCGACTCCGGGCCAACACAATAAACACGGATAATCGCGAGCCCAAAAAGTTTAAATGTCGTCATTTTTATTATTAAACGCTTCTTTTTTTTCGCCATTTCATCTTAAATATGCTTTTTATCTGCCCCACCACCCAAGGTCGCGTCTTCATATAATTTTATTATCGAAATCATTTCTATAGGATGGGTAGCGGTGGCAATATGTGCATGTGGCGTGTGTAGTGCCTCTCTAAACCGCAAAAAGATTCGAAGGTAGAAATTCTCGAGAGGAGGTCCTCATCAAATGGCCATTGGGCATCCCATGATGAAAAGCTGCTTATTACATTCCGTAATCTGCTAATAAGTAACTGTATCTGTTGAAATTTGAACTCTCAATTTCATCGATGATGATCCAGTCTGATCGGTTCTTCTTGCGTATGTATTCTGTGCCACCAAGGTACTGGAACGCAGCGTCATTGTGTATGGCAAAATGTGAATAAGAAGTGTTAAACACAGTGTTAAACAGAAAACTTTCGATTTCATTTTTGTTGTTCATTCACATGTTTGAATATCGCATTTGGAAGATGACTCCTCATCATCGAGATAATCCAAGGCCCATTTTTTGAGATTTGCCCAACCAGGCCTCAAGTCATCTCCAATCGTGTTGGTAAATAGAGGAGGTACATGTGTGATTGTAAGTGACTTTGTTAAATAATTCGAGATGACAAGTGTGTTGTTTCGTGATGAAATAAGGAAGATCTAATGTAATCCTATTAGTTGCTTGACGTGAGGTGCGAATGAGAGCTACCTTCTGCCTCTGTCATTCTCACATGCAAGCTTATACGCGCTAGATTACCATAAAGCTTTTTTCCCCCTCGCCTTCCATCTTCGTCACAGCGGCGTCGCTCTCGCTCTCTCGATTATCTGATTAGATGTGGACATTAAGATGAGAAACCACAATCGGGTCATTGATGCCATGATGAATTTCTTTTGAACAAATTTGGCATCTATCGCGACGACCCACCGCATTTCGCGTGGAATCACAAATAATTGCATTACACTTTATATATCTTCTTTCACTCTTTTGCAAGATGAATAATTACCATAAAATTTCTCACAACATAAAAAACTATATTGCTAATCCATTCAGTGGTCACATCAATTCACAACATAATAAAATATATTACTAATGTCCGTGATTTATTGTTATTTAATTATGAATCAAAAGTGCCATTTAATACCTCTCTCACTATCACCCCATTGTATCACTATTTGCAATGCTCCAATGATTTCTGCATAGCTTCTGGAGCTTATTTCATCACACCAGGCGCCTCCATCGCACCCGGCGCCTCCACTGTGCGCTGCATTTTCAGAAGTTTTCCCAAGTAGGAACACTTTTTGCTGCACACAACTGAAAATTTCCACACCTCGCCATCATCCTCTCTCGCGCCTGAGCTGAAAATTATGCAAACATCGCGTTAATTAATTTGTGTGGCGTCTGACATGCGTTAATAGGCAATTAACACATGTACAAGAAGTGGTGCATCCACCTAATTATGCACTAACTTCTCTGCACATAAAGTTGCGTCCCGTTGCTCTAATTTGAAATAATTCTTCGCATGACATTTCCCAGCTGCGGAATTAAATTTTATACACTTGAGTCGAGATGTTATCTCGATCTTGATACTAATCTCAAATATATCGCATAACATCAATTCGCAGAATTTCAAAGATGCTCCATGAGATGAAGTTGCTCTCCTTCAAGCCAAATCATGAGTAAAGCAAAAATATACATTCTTGATCTCTGTGGCAAGGAAATTTCGGTGAATGTTTGCCAATTTTATTTGGGTAATTAGTATGAGTGTGTTTAAATTCAAACAGATTGCACGGCAAACTATTTCCGAGTTGACGGCACACCGGTTTTCCAAATGTCTCATCAGAGGAGCTTTATTTATTTTGCGAATAGAGCCTATTTGATATATTGGCAGGTTTACATAGGAGTCTGACGATGTGACCTCTAAAATTCGAGATGGAAAATTTCCAGTTTGACTAAAGAACTTTCTCAGAGCATCTTGGCAATATTGCCACGAGTGACTGGTTCAAATCATATTAGGCGTATTCGCAGTAACTAGAGTAGAGATTTTAAGCACAATTAATCTAATTTTTGCGAAAATCATGTTAATAGAAATTGTTATATGAAGACAAATTTATTATTCATTTTGCAAATATTGTAATGTGTGAAGTGGCGCAAAATATCTCAGATATTATAATTCCATTCGTAAATCACACATATATACGCTTTTAAGTATGATTTTAATTTAATTTAATCTTCATAAAATCTCTTTACTTCCCAGTACTTCAATGATTTCAAATCTCTTCATCAAAAGCACAAGTTTAGTATTTTTTGACATAGCCTTTATTCACTTATGACACTACATTGTCTCGTTGTGACATAGCATTTTACAAAAAATAATAATAGCCATTGCGGTAGAAAAACACCCTTTTACAATGTTGCAATACAGTTGCAATTCACTTTAGAATATTAAGAGCACTTTTTCCGTCGAATCTCTCTGTGGCGCTTAGAAGGTGAAGGGTTTGCTTGGCACGCGATACTTGTAGCCATCCTCGTCCAGGGTGTGGCTGGGCAGGATGACCTCGGGCGCCGGCGGCAGATCGGGCTGCGTGGAGGAGATCACCGTCTGCTGCGTCGTGCTGCTGGGGATGAGGATGAGCGGCGGGGCCGAGGGGGAGGGCAGTGGGATGGGCTGCGAGACTGGCGGGAGATATTCGCGGGAAGTTGTGGGAATCACGATGGGCACGTCGTTGGAGGGACTGGGACTCGGGCTGGGCAGGTCGAAGTTGACTGTTGGCCTTGGGTA